GAAATTCTTCTGGCTCCCGCGCTTTCAGTAACCTTGAACGGCTGTTGCCTTATCGGAGACTTTCCAGGTGGTGTTTATACTGGGCTCAGGGAGTTTGAGAGATATATGGTGGCGGGATGGGAGGATGGGATGTGTCTGTGCTAGGCTCAGGGAGTTTTGAGCCCGGGGCTGAGGAATGTGCCCAGCTCCTTTCAGTGCCCCGTGGTGGGACCTCGGGCAGGGGGCGTGCCTGGTGGTGGCTTCTCAGGTGGGGCAGGGGCACCCCGCAGTGGGTCCCAGGCCTGGGAGGGGAGGGTGCGGGACATTCAGGTGGGTGCAGGTGCAGGTGGGTGGAGGGTGAGGCAGTCTGCGAAGGAGAGGGTGGGGATGGGGCGGACCCCAGCAGTGTCCCCCTGCTCAGCGAGGACAGTGAGGCCGTGTGCCAGTGCAGTACTGCTCTGGAGATCTCCCTTGGAGAGCTCAGGACCAGAGCAGGTCTCACTCCAGCTGCCTGTGTTGGAGCTGGGCTGCCCTACCAACCAAGTCAGAATATGGGATGTGGGGCAAGGCGGGGTTTTTAGGGTTAGCAGGTGAGTCAGAGGCCAGACTGGAAGCCTCCACGGCCCTTCCCAGCTCTGAAACCGTGTGGGCTCCATCTTTGTGGGAGTGGAGCGGTGCTGTTCTGTGGCCTCACCGCCCCCGCTGTCTGCTTTCTGAGCAGACATTCTCATGGCCACAGGCACCACTTTTCTCAGACAACACAAAAGCAGTTGTTGACAAAACAAACTTACCATTTAGGTGCTGAGGACAAAAGCCAGACCTCTGGGTACAGCTGACTTCACCACGCGGCAGCCGGCAGTCATGGCCCACACTAAGCGAAGGCACGTGGTTGTGCTCCGGTAAAATGTTATTTGTGGACACCGAGTTTGAATTTCATGTAACTTTCACGTTTCACAAACTATTATATAAACATAACAACCACTCATAGCTCATAGACTGTATGAAATTAGGTGGTGGCTGGACATGGCAGTGTGTTGACCCCGTGATGGACAAACGGGTTGTTCCCATTCGCCTGAGCTGAGGGCTCAGGCGAATGGGACCCTCCTCTCACCTGCGCTCTTTCCCCTGTGTTCTGCAGGCCCCTGCAGACCCCCCTGCGAGTGCTGGACCTGGCCAACTGTGCCCTGAACCACGCAGACATGGCCTTCTTGGCAGACTCTGCCCACGCTGCCCACCTGGAGGTGCTGGACCTGAGTGGACACAACCTGGTCAGCCTGTTCCCCTCGACCTTCTTCAGGCTGCTCGGCCAGGCTGCCCGGACGCTGAGGATCCTGACGCTGGAGGAGTGTGGCATCGTAGACAGCCACGTTGGCATGCTGATCCTGGGCCTGAGCCCCTGCCACCAGCTGCGCCAGCTCAAGTTCCTCGGGAACCCGCTGTCGGCCCGCGCCCTCCGGCGCCTCTTTGCCGCGCTCTGTGAGCTCCCCGAGCTGCGCTGCATCGAGTTTCCAGTGCCCAAGGACTGCTACCCTGAGGGTGCCGCCTACCCCCAGGACGAGCTGGCCATGTCCAAGTTCGACCAGCAGAAATACGACGAGATCTCCGAGGAGCTGCGTGCCGTGCTGCTGCGGGCGGACCGAGAGGACATCCAGGTCTCCACGCCCCTCTTTGGAAGTTTCGACCCAGACATTCAAGAAACAAGCAATGAGCTTGGCGCTTTCTTGCTGCAAGCTTTCAAAAACGCTCTAGAAAACTTCTCCAGAGCACTCAGACAAATAGAGTAGTTCCTCCACTCGCACCAGCGACAGGTCTTGCATTTCAGCCTGCAGGTGCCCTGGGCTTCGGTCCTGGATCCGAGGCTTGGGCCTGGCATTCATCCCCACCACCACCACCACCGAAAGCAGTTCTTAGTGAAAATTGTAGGCGTGCCTGTTAAGCGCTGTAGAAGAGGAAGCCTTCCAGGAGAGGCGCCATGCGGTGCCCTTTAGTGGCAGCAAAGCAAGGTCCTGGAGGCAGGGGAAGCCACCGAGAGTGACTGAGGGTCAGTGGGGGCAGACGCCACATGGCAAAGGGCAGAGAAGTCCGGGAGGTGTGAGGAGCGGCCGACCTGGCCTCGGCGCATCCGGGCACTGGGCGCAAGATGAAGCCTCAGGGAACAGATGTGACTGGGTGCCACAGCAGTGAGGGGGAGGGGAAGAGAGAACGCATCACACAAACTGCACAAAACAAGCAGCCCATGAAAAACAACCGAGAAAAAGAGGTGAAAAATGAACAGCAAACCGGACCCTGCTTCCTCCAGCAGGAGGCTCCCACCTGCTGCTGGTCACATCCTGCTTTCTGCACCTGCCGCTTACAGGATGCGGTGGGCCTGCAGGGAATGCGGGGCTTTTGGTTGCTGTTAGCGACTTTTCTTCTCGCTTTGTGTAGCCCCCCAGAACCGTGAGGGGCATCCGAATGGGTGAGCACAGGCGTCCCCTGAAGTGCCGCCCGGACCAGGGCGTTCAGCGCTGCGGGGAGGCCTTTGCCCCACTGCTCCACTGTTTCTCGCCAGCATTCACTGTGTCCCACAGGGCTCCAGGCTCAGACTGACGGGAGCTATTCTAGGTGTTTAATTGAAGCACTTGACCAGCCCCTGGAGAAGCTGACAACCACCTAAGACACATTTGGACTTGGTGTCCACCAAGAATGACTTTGTGCAAAGAAATGGCTGAGCACTAGAATAACTAAACGCAAATAAAATGTGTATTTCAGTGCAGTTCAGACAGGTGAGTGCTTGGTGTGGTTAAGTCCTCCTCAGACCCAAAACCAGGGATCTGAGTCACTGTGTGCCCATGGCTCCGCTCAAGTCACACCCCATGACAGCGCCCACCACGGGTGTGTCCCCACCCCAGGGTCCCGTGTCACCCCCTCCTCAGGTGTCACCTCCTCCCCATGTGTTTCCACCCCAGGGCCCCCATGTCACCCCCTT